TGTCCTGTACCCACGTCTACAATTCAAAATTTCCAATGTTTGTAATATCCTATCATATGCTTTTTAATGTCCTATCTTATGTCCTGCCTTTGTGATTTATTTATGGTCTTATTATAAGCAGTATAAGAAATTCAGAAAAAATAGTGTTTATAGTAAAAGAACAATGTCACACTTGATATTACCACACGACATAATTGCTTTAATAATTTAGTCTATAATTTTCATAATCTCAAACGATATAGTAGTTGCTTTTGGCAATTATATTTTCTAAAGTACATTTTTCTTACTAATAATTTAATAAATATTGTTGTTTAAACAATATCTTAAGTAGGTGAGTAATCTTAGGTGAATTAATTTGTAAAATCTAGTTCATATGAGCACTTTTCAATCTAAGATCAACTCGCTTAAATATTCCATATCCAATGCCAAACAAATGAATTTTTGTCACATGAACAAAATCATTTTTTTAATGTTAAATAATTTAGTAAAGAAAACCAAAATGCGACATGCATAATTTAAAAAAATAATGTATGTGGAATTTTGGACTTATTGCGTTATTTATTAAACTAAATTATATAATTTCATCTGCCAATATATACTGTTGACTGTATATTATATTATTTTAATTTCTGGCACATCTCAGCTGCTTTTCGGCAATAATAATGTAGGCATTACATTTTCTTGTATATTATATTCTAATATTATCTAGGCTCATAATTTCAGCTTAATTAAAATTTCAAGTGAATTGATATTTTCTAGCAGGTGACAGTTGAATTGTTTTCAATGTTCATTAAATCTTAAAAAATTTTTTGACAAATTCTAAAAAGAATTATTAAAATCCGAATAACGTTTAGGAGAAGTATACCATCAGACACCCGTACAGAAGAATTTTATATAAAGAATATATATATATATATATTATATATAATATATATTCGAATTTACAAAGGTTTCATGAAGAAAGATTGAATGTCGGTTGGCAATGCGGAATGTTTGGGCAATTTTGCCCTAAGGCACAATGCCATTTACAATACACCTGTTATTTTTGGCCTAAGAATACACACTTTTAGTTTAATTACTTTAAAACCAGATTTAGTGCATTGTCTTTACATGTACTTTGTTGCATGTAGCACATGTACAAAATAAAATAAATAAATAAATTTACCATTGAACCTGCTTAGTTTAACAGCACTATTAATACAATAAGGATACTAAGAAATTTATCCGATTTTTTTCTATTTCCCAGGCTGCATATCATGTGGAAAGAACAGGAGTTCGAGTGATAGCTCTATGTCCAGGATGGACTTCGACCGCTCTGGTAGGTGATATTAAGAAACAACTTATGTCTGCTGATTATGAGGCAGCATGGAAGGCTGATATCGCAAATCAAATTCAACAGAAGTAAGTTCAATGATTTTTATCTTAAATATAAGTAATGAAGAAAATTGAAATAAATTAAAATGAGATGTATAATAACCCAGCAAACACCGAGCGGCGGTAGGTAGCAATCTGAAATCCACATTGATTCCACATTGGCTGAAGGCACGCTTGTGGATTTCAGGTCAAATCACATGGGTTACTGGAAATATATACATTTCATCAATTTATGTGATAGTGTTTATAAATATTTATAACTTTGAGCTATACGTTATAAAATATTTTTATAACTTTGAGCTATCAATTTATTTCTATAAACCAGACCAGAAGATGTAGGTAAAGCTCTACTGCACGTTCTCAGAAACGCCAAAAGCGGTTCAGCCTGGATTGTGGAAAATGCTCAACCTGCACGTGAAGTGAGTTTCCTGGACAATAAACTTAGAAAATGAATTAAACCTACTCTTCGTCGCTCGAATTTATCATTTTATATTTATAAACTGATTCATTTATATGAGGATTCCGGAATATGGTTTTATCATGATTTGTAAGAAAGTGGTAAGAAAATATTTTATTCGAATGTAAAGGTATGTGATTCTTTTATGAAAATATTCATGATATACTGTTTTTGGAGTTTGATATTTATCTTGAAAATAATACAAACTTTGTACGACTTAAAACTTTTGCAATCAAAAATTAGAAATAAGATTAGAATAACTCTTACCTCAATTTAGTTAAAACATTTCATTGCTTAAAATTAACAATGTTAGAGTCTCTTAATCGATTTCATGCATAGAAAAGTATTTTTAATAGAACGATTTTTTTATTAAAGAAACGAATATCATACTTATCAATAAATCAATTCATAAACCTATATTTATAAATTTATAGGGTTATATATACCGAAACTATAAAAACTTACACGCTGAAAATTTGTAATTTTTTTTTTGATATAAGATAGTTGAAAAAATATAGAAATTTCTTACAATGACTATAAACAATTTTTTAATTATGTGACCTTAATATTATCAATAGATACCAAATGTTTCTCCTACATTATCAAATAAATTAGTGTTCGCTTTATTCATAAGTAGTTACTAATCACTCAACAAAAAATGAATAAATTATCATGAAAGCATTACTAAAATCATAATTGAATAAATAATAAATAACATCATTATTAATATATTTATATCTTTAATAGCTTGATGCAGTATATTTTTTGTTAATGTAGGTCAATGTTATAACTAAATGTATTTATTAATAAGCGACTTATTAATAATTATAACAATAAATAATATAAATATTATAATTTGCTTTAATTAACGTTAAAATTATTTTATTTGGCTTATATAAAAAAATAACCAATTTTATTGTTAATGTTGCGCTAAAGTCGATTAAATTATAATAAATATTGAAACTCATAATTTAGTTAAATATTACAAAGTCATTATGGGAGTTAATTTCAAGATATTTTGAAGTTCTCATTTAAATATTGTATTATAAAACGCAATGATATGTGTTTCTATATAATAGCGTTATGTGATATATATTGTTAACATAATTTAATAATAGCCCTTGATTTATTAATAAACGCTTATGTATTTTAAAATTTGTTTAATTATGTATTAAGTGTCGTTCAAAAATACATTTGTAATAAAAAAGATTTGAGGGAAAAAATTAATGAACTCTCATACGAAGAAATTCATCAGGATCCATTAAATGTTCAATATTGTGATCTGATAGTCTTTAAAAAAAATAGTTAATAAATAAAAAATACAAAATATTATGATATTTGTTTTAAATTTAAATATATACAACTAACACTAAAAATATATTCCACAATATTCTTCATTTAAACGACTTTTACCAAATTTTATGGATCATCTTTTATAAAATTGTATAGTACGTTATTGAAAAGTCAATAATTCAGTTGTTTTCTAATAAAAATTGATAGTTTATGATCGATGACTTGAGATCTTCCAACATTATTTCGTGAAACTAAATTTTCAGCTCAATTAGTAAATTATTTAGTCAAAAAAGTAAATATTACTTCTATAATTGTTTTGAAAATGTAGATGGAGAGTTGATTTTCATGTAAGTAGAAACGTCAGTTTTGACATTAACGATGCATATTTTTTTGATTTATTTATTGATTATCAATATTATTGATAATTTTGGTTCATTTATTATCAATAGTATTATAAAAGTTTTCGCTAGAAAATCAAACTTGCTAATTTTGTTTTCTCGACGTCCCAAGTCATTGCAAATCATTTGAGACCATAATCGAAAGCTTTTATTTTCACACGAAAGAGGAATCAAATTTCAGAAAAAATCACACTATATTTCTAAAAGAAATATTTAATAATATACATCTTACACCATGGATCTCAGTCAGAGGTCCTCAGAGTTCAGAGTATCAAAATAATTGATACAATTTAATCAACTAAATCTAATTGATTTATATTGATAAAGCATCTAATTTGTTGAATTAAAAATAAAACAATATTTTTTACTTCGTATAGGGTAAGTTATAGTAATCGTAAAAAAACGAAAATAAAAATTTTCATATATATTTACGTTTCAGAGGTCCGAACATTTTGGCATACCTTAGAAAAAAATGGATGTATGTATATATGTGTGTGTGTATGTGTTCGGATACAAATTTTTGTTGACGATTTTGGGAACACGGTTCAACCGATTTGAATAATTCGAAAAACATCTGATTTGTACTGATAAAGAGACGCGCTGATTAGTTTTTAGCAAGGCAGGTCTAGCCGTTCCAAAGATACGGGGCAAAAATTTCCAAAAACGGTAACTCAGTTTTTAAGAGAGCAGAGTGTCCGATTTTAATAATTCAAAAACATTATACTTTTATTGATAATGTGAAGAATTGATTAAATTTTTGGGAAGGCAGGTCTAGCGGTTTCGGAGATCTAGTGAAAAAAGTAAAAAAAAAGCCATCTGGCGGCCAGAAATGATCATTAGACATATGCACATCAAATTATCAGATATATTATGGAGATTTTAATAATGTGTATCCATGTTCCTTACATTACGTTAACGGAACGTTATGGAAGTGAGTCGTTTGTCTTTTAAACGGCGACGCGGCGCTTACGCGCTTTTATATCTCGTCTCCTATGCAGCTAAAGCTGTGCGAATGTTTTGAAAAAAAATTCAAAATTTCCAAAATATTTCAAAATAAAAAAAAAAGTTAAAAAAAAAATATTCTTTTTTAAAAAAATTAATTTTGGTACGGGAAGTTTCAGCAATTTGCCTTTAGGCACGATGCCATGCACCACTAATTATTTACTTTTATCTTGTAACCGACTTTTTTTATCTACATATGCACTTCTAATGCATTTTCTGCATATTTTCTAAGTTTTGAATAACCGTTTCCATAGCAACGAACAGGTTACGTATCGTGGAATATTTTATATCGAACCAAGTGGAGTGAAGCGCAATTAAGTGGAAAGACATAATATTGACGAATAAAAATATTCAAATAAATTATAATCATTTAATAGAAAAGACCTTTAATTAAATAATAAGTCCGTTAATTAAATGTCATACAAAAAATCCATTAAATAAATAATATTTTGTATAAATATTGAATATATGTGCAATATTCAAAATGTTTTGTGACAAATGTAGAGTGGCAATTTGAAAATATAAATAAAAAACTTGGCATTGAAAATGCAATTATTCATATAATTTAAAAAAAACGTAAAAAATTAAATATAGAAATGAATGTGTATAAAAGTTCATAAAGTTTCTGAAAAAAACGTTGATAATTAATTTACTTATAATCAACTTTTTACTACAAATTCACCATATCAAATTTTTAATTTATTTTCACATTCTGAAGAAATTTATATTCGCCGTATTATTAGTTTTGTAGATTTTGGTAATGCGAGAAAACGAAATGTCTTCATCTCCTAAAAAAGAAAAAGAAAGCATAAGCCTTCTTAGTCAAACTAAAGCTAGATTTGATGCTGTTTTGCGATCAGCTGTTAGAAAATCTGATGCTGCCAAAGCCAGCATCACTACTTCTTCCTTAAAGCGCAGGTAATAAACCAATCTGGCAAATATTGTAAATGCATTATTTTATATTTTGTTACTATATTTCATTTCAGTTCTCGCGATCCATCAGATCCCAATGCATTCTCATCCCAGCAAAACTTAATAGATGAATCACCCGATCAAGAGATACCGACACTAGAATTATTTAAACAGAAGAAATCAAAGAGTCGAACAACCGATGACAATGAGACATCATTCGTTACAAAAACACCATCTCACAGTAGCAAGAAATCTCAATCAAATGACTTCTTTGAGTCGTCTTCATCATCAAGAAAGCCGTCTACAATTATTTCTGCATCACGTTCCAAGTCCAATAAAGCAGTGTTGAAACACGGTAGAAATAATAGTAGTTCTTTCGAAAGCAATGATGAATCATCTTCAGATGAACAATCTCAAATTAATCGCAAAGATTCAAACAACATTCCTACAGCCTCGTTTGTGGATGATAATCATGACACAGAACCCGAGGAAGAGCATGAACTACCAAAACCAAAACCACTTCCCCGTCGAAAATCATTTATGGTTAACGATTCAATGGAGCTTCCATTAGAGAAACCAGTACCAAAAACAAGACAAATTTATAGCAGAAAGAATTCGTCTGATGACAATAAAATCGAACTAACTAAAAATGAATCCAGGAGTAAAAGATCAGTTAAAGTAGATCATCCAGATCTCAAAAGCAAATGGATGTTCCAAGCAGCAAAGGCGATAACAAAAATCAACCCTTGGCATCGTCTCATGAAAATTTGTTTGAAAAATCTGATGAAAATATTAAAGATCTACTTAATTCTCGATCTAGGACAAAAAGTGTTGGACCTCAACATCGAAGCAAAAGTAGAAAAAAACGGGAACTTCTTGGTACCGATTCAACTCCGATTCGAAAAAGTGGTAAAAATTTTGGAACCAAAGATTCTGAAAAAGATGATGATGAAGTTGTTGAAGGTCGCTCTTACAAAAAAGTTGTAGGTAAAATATAAATGATATTGATTACATTATATTTCATACAAAAAATGTATAACCCATAATTTTTAAGGTATCATCGTTCACAATATGTCTTGGTTAGGCCGATCACTATCGAAAGGATTTTTATTGCGGCCTTTTGTCAGAGTATCAATTTATAAAACAACTATGAATAAACCTTTACACGATCCTATGAAATCCCAACATTTCAATTGCTTGAGTAAAGAGTGAGTAGAATAAATTAATAAATATAGCTGTATAATAATATATATTAATGCAATTTTCAGGATCACTCCAAAATGGGAAGAACTTCTTGTATTTCCTATAGACTATGATACCATAGAAGATAAAAATACAGTTCTGTTTTTTGAAATATTTGATATGAAAGTTGGTTTCAAAAGATCACAAGGTAAGGGATACTGAATTATTAAAATTTATAATTTGCAGGTAAATATAAATCAAAAGCATTTATTTATAGATGTAGAACATTGCTTGGCATGGGCATTTCTAAAACCAATCGGTGTTAATGGAATGAATAATACTCATAATAAATTGCAATTGCAACTTTATAAACCTAAAACTGATGTTAGAGAAACTGAAGGAATACATGTATTTGATTGGTGGTCATCAACCAGAAGAAAAAAGTAACTACGAGCATAACCTTTGCTGAATATGATAATAATGTTTATATACAAATAATAGTAATTATTAACAATTGTTAAAATGTTTTTAGATATCCAGGGACACTATATGTTACCGTCAAAAGCAAACATAGAAAAAAGTCGGATTTAAAACCAGCATCTGAAGAAAAACAGCAGGAACGGAGCAAAAGTCATAATGACTTAACAAACGAAAGAACTAAGAAAATTGCAAAAGAAGAACCAAGAGTAAGAAATAAATTTATAACCTTTTTTTAAATAATATAATTTATGAAAATATTCTTGGTTTCAAACTTTTTCATAGAAATTTATTTTTGTCTGATGCAAATTGACTTCTTCCATTAATCTAATCGCTAATATCATTTTTGACTTCAGAGAAAAACAAAATTTGAGTATTGGTTGCTATTTTCAACTACGAACAAACTAAAAATGTAACAAATCAAAGAAATAATTAGTTCTTATTATGTTACAGACTTATTCCTGGTCCAGAACTTCAGGTCAAGTATGTAAATTGCCTAATTGTCGTTTGGTAAAATTGCCTACCTTAGACAAGGGCAGTTTATCAATTCGCTTCAACCATGCTGGTGATTTATTGGCATGCGCATGTGCTGATACTTTCAATATAAATGTAAGTAATAAAATTATATTTTTAGAATCGTACTTTTCTCAATGTCAATTTAAAATGCATAGTTTTATCCCCTACCCTCGTGCAATGAATAATTTGCAGATAATTGATTTTATAGAAACTTCTGTAATTAAGAATTTATTCTGATTCTATTTATAATGTATATATTGTACAAGAATATTAACCTTTCCACTCGGAAGCCGCTGCACCAGCGGCAAAATGCAATTGGCGAGTGGAAAGGATTAATTATTACAACATTACACATTTAATCATTTTTGCTCGATTTTTGAAGTATTGGCCTTGGTTATTCAATCTCAAATCCTCTTATTTGCATTCCAGCAAAACTTTGTCGAATATAAATTATGACATCAAATCAGTTTTTTATACATTTGAAGTCAAAACATATTCTATTTATTGGACTTTTTTCTTTCAATTTGTATTATTTTTATTAGGTATACGATATTCCTGGGGGAACTTTTCGTTTCGAGCTCACTGGCCATCAGGGTCTGGTGTACGACATGTGCTGGACGCACAACGACATGAAGCTACTCAGTGCTTCTTCTGATAGAACGGTCTGCATATGGGACATGATTGAAGGAAATTTATCTCAGGTATGTAGAAATAGTTAGAAGATTAAAATTGAGGAATTGTTGCAAAATATTTTTAACATTATTTTTTATCACAGTTACTATCACATCCCTCGTTTGTATATGCCTGCGACGTGACAGTATCTTCAAGACTGGCAGTGTCTGGTTGCTTTGATCGTATAGTGCGAATTTGGCAACTTGCTTTGGATCCTATGTCTTTTTCTGAACCGCCGTCGTATGAATTATATCAAGAACTACCAGATGAGCATAAAGGTGAAATTAATTCCTAAAAATAGTATTGTTTTTATTTAACATTTTATTCAAAACTGCTTGTTGAATCAAACTAGGATACATCACTGCTGTTTGTTTTGGATCGGACAGCAGGACTGTGTATAGCGGTGATAGCGCAGGCATTATCAACGAATGGTCAAGAACTTCTGAAGACTTTTGGCAGTGGACCAGGTGAATAAACAAATGCGATAAAATCTAACTAGCAAACAAATTACACAAATAATACTACACTATAAGCTCCTATGGAAGACATTTTTGAAATATTACGCGCTTATATTAAATAGTATGACAAATTATTATAATTAGCTAGTTTGACCTTACTACTTGAACTTTAGTAACATGCTAGTGACAAATTCAGGGACCGATTCTGCCGCATAACAGACAAATGTTATGGCAAGGCCATGTTACTCTCCAACTTCCATACATTATGCTACAACATGTTATGTATTTGCTGTGCATTCAGGCAGTTTTACACATGAACTGCAACGTTACTCGTATGTTATGAAGCTGAGTCAGAAAGACCATGCTATCTAACATAGTTTTTTTCCGATAGTTGTGCGGTTTCTAGGTCTATCTGACAACCTGAAAAAATTGCCTAATTGCACAGCAACCACATGGCTTTTGCCAATTTTTACATTATTCATCTATATTGATTACTGTGAACAGACATATGTGTCCGGAACTCAATGCTGTGGTGAACCGTCTTTGTTTGCATCCATCCGGAGAACGTCTTCTGGTCCATGTTCGAGATAATATTCTGCGGATTATACATGTAGAAAGAGCTACTGTTGTCCGTTTATTGAAAGGAGCTACAAATTTTAGGTAAAGTAGTAAAAACATCAACTTTCTTTTATTCACATATAGTGCCACTTTCTATTATTTGTCCTTACCTAGTACGTTTGTTACCTTTCTAGAATACAAACATCGGCTTGTTTTTCTCCTTGCGGCAATTTGGTGTTAGGTGGCAGTGAGGATGGTTTGGTGACCGTCTGGGACACCGATAGTGGCCATCGAATAGCAGTTTACAAATTTCCCTGGATACCAGTGCAACATGCAGACCAAGAAAAGAATGATGAACCTATCACCGCCATGGCAGCTGTAGATTATCATCCGAAGGTAACATTGTTTGAAACCAATTTTAAGGCGCATAATTAAAAGAATAGCAGCAGTTGTTGTATAAATATACAAATCGTTGACATAATTTGGAAAATAGTTACTGCTCTTTGCGCAAATCACTTTAGCCAATATGTAGCATATTGGATGTAATATATGCTTATAGTACTTTTTATGTAACTTATTGATAAAATATTGTTATCTATAATTATTTTATGTATAATTATATCACTATATAATATTTTTCTTTATCAAGGGTCATGCAGCAGCATTTTGCGCTTATGGATTCAGTACCAGCGTCTACGTGTGCAAATATGATAGAAATGCGGATTCTAATGTCATTGGACTTACACTGTTCAAAGAAAGATATAAGGTATCTCTTATGTTATAAATTAACAAAAACAAGTTGGCAAAATCATAACAAGTTGTCCTAAATAGATCAGAACATTTTTATAAACAAAAGAAACGATATTTGTATGGTAATTCTGATATGTAAGGGTACTACTACAAACTACATAAAAACTGGCACCAAAGTTGTTAATTATACTCAATAGTGCAATTTTAGGAGTGCTGAGTTTACTTGCATGTCTACACCAATTCAATGATGTTAAAGTATGTTGTCATGAGATATCTAAGTATCTAAGAGCACAACTTCACCTAGAAATAAGAACCTTTTAATTTGATTGGTTAAAAATATATTGGGCGCACGTGATTAGTTCAGATCAAAGCATTGTGCAATTCATAGTAAAAATAAAATTTGTTCTTTATTATTTTCCCCTGTATAAACTAAAAATTGCCTTCTCTCCCAATTCCATTATATCTTCCAGGAATCAGAGTTCAACAGTAATGCAAGTGAAATATCATTAAATCAACAACCAGTGCAGTCAGAAGAGAAACAGAAAACCCACAAAAGATCAACAGAGTCTGATGCCATATATCAAAAGCATAATGGAACTTCAAATGATGATTTAATAAAACCTAGCACAAGCCGAGCTGGTCAAGATGGAATCAAATTATCGGCTCTGATCAGGAAAATAGACAATATTCTGAGTCCAATAAAAAGGACTATTTCCAAACCGCAGTCACCTGATGGATTAATAGACACTAGGTTTATGAACACTCTGAGTGAAATGAAAAGTCAGAAGCTGAAGAAACAGCCTAAGAATACTCGTCAAGAACCTGTAAATGAAATAGTAGTCATTGGTGAGCCTCATCAACCTCCGATGCAACCAGGAAGAAGCTTGAATAAGAACCATAATTTGGAAAACAATAAAACAAACTTTAATACAGCTATATCGCAAGACAGTCTTATGACTTCTAATAGAAACCATGAAGATTCATCTACTGCTGCTTCTGACGACGAGACTATTACTTCAAGAAATGAAGCTAGTAATGCCAATAATCGAACTTATAGCATACAAAATAATTTCGAAGAAGATTTAGTCCAATCGTCGAGTTTTGCAGAATCTTTGGTGACAGATGAGGACTCTAACAATGATTCACCACGAGCCAGAAGACGAAAACAAATATCTGGTAAAAAAGTTGTTTCTCATAAGGGTAAAAGATGGAAATAAATTGAATATATGAAAGAAAAAAAATTAGTCAAAATATTGTGATATATTTGAAATAAATTTAAAAACATTGATCAATTTTTATTCACTTGTGGCTTAAAGATATGAATTTCAGAGCTGAGATAATTGAGACAAATTAATAATATCAATGGTGAAATATGATGTTATTGGAACCTCTTTATTCACTTTTAAAAAAAGTGTATTGAAAGTTATTGAAATAAATATCAAGATTTATAATTGTATAATTTTATGCTTATTTTTAATTATAAAAAGCAACAAAACTGAAACTAAAGTTGTAAACTACTATTTATTAATTAAATAATTACTTCTCAATGATTTGACTAAAATTTTAAGCATATTTATTAACAGCTTCAACAAAAATAATAGATAAATATTATTATTATTTTGTGAATGTATAAATTTTAAATATTTAATTTTTTATAAAACGTATGTGTTACGTTGTAAATTTTGTATAGATGGTTTGGAACCCAATATTTAAAAAAAATAATATCGAATCCTAAAAAGTGCCAGATTGATTTTATGCGGAAGAAAACTTTCATATCTATTTACATTAATACGACTTTTAAAAATTTTTAATAAAATTTCGAAAGTATTATTCTTTTTTAAATGATTGCGCTTATAGGGAATCTTACAAGTTTTTTTATGTATATCTTATAAGAATTTTGAAAGAATTATGAAGGTGATGTGAGAGTACCACAAAATCAATGATTTCCATTTCGTTACCATTTCATTACTACTATTCACTTTTTTATACCTTTTAGGCATTTTTAACTTCCCTAAGGATAAGTTATTCAAGCAAAAAAATTCGAAAATGAAAATTTTTATATATCTTTACGATTTAAAGTTTTCTGAATATTTTGGCATACCTTAGAAAAATTGATGTAGGTGTGTGTATATATGTGTGTGTGTGTGCGTGTGTGTGTGCGGATACAAATTTTCGTCGACGATTTCGGGAACACCGATAAACCGATTTTAATAATTCAAAAAAACATTCGATACGTATTTATAAGGAGACTTGTTGATTAGTTTTTAGCAAAGGCAGGTCTAGCCGTACTAAAGATGCGGGGCAAAAAGTGCCAAAAACGGTAACTCAGTTTTTAAGAGAACGGAGCGTTCGATTTTAATAATTCAAAAAACATTTTACTTGTATTGACAAGATGAAAAACTGATTAAATTTTTTGGGAAGGCAGGTCCAGAGGTTATGGACTCTTAATAAAAATAAGTTTAAAAAATGTTATTTGGCGGTCAAAAATGTTTATTGGACATATGTACGTCAAATTATCGGATATTTTATAGAGATTTATATAATGTGTACACATTTTGTGTAATTGTTTTTTGCGTTTCGTACTAAGATTTTTAATTACGGTACGGGAAGTTCCAGCAATTTGCCTTAAGGCACGATGCCATGCACCCCACTAGTTAAGGTTGTCTCTAAACTATTTTATTTTGTCTTTTTTGGCAAAGATTATGACCTGTCTGATTTTTTAATTGTTTATAAATTAAGCATTAATGCTTAATATAATTAAAGCTTAATAATTATGTATACATAATGCATTATGCAAACATACTGCATAATATTAATTGAGGTTACCTCTAAATTACTTAATATGTCTTTTTAGCAACCATAAATATGCCTAATTTTTGTTGTTGTATATAAAGTAATATGATATGCATAAGCGCCGTAGTGCATTAAGATATTATTTAAGATTACCTGTAAACTACTTAATTTTGACATTTTTACAAATGTGCCTGATTTTTATTTTGTAAATAAAATAAGTAATATGCAAAATCAATAATTATACACGGTACAAATATAAATAATAATGGATTATGCACATGATTAGACATTTAGAACATGTCCGTAATGAATAACGCCCGTATAATGCACATGAATCGAATGCAACACGCAACACGTCATTACGCACAAATTACTGTTTTCAATGGCCAACTTCACGGCGAACTGTTAACCAAACAAAGTGAAATAGAACAACGCTATTTCGTGATAAACTTTGTAAACTTGTTTTATGTAATTTAACTATTGTAATGTGATTCGAATATATCACAGTTTTAATTACAATTACATTTTTAATTATTTGTCACTTGGTGCTTTGTTAAAATATAGTGTTGATAACAGTGAAAAGCTGAAAAGCAAGTATAACATGATTACATTTTTTATGCCCAGTGAGATAACCCAGCGGTAAGACATTTGTTATTTTTCTTCTGTGAGCCATTGATAACGTTCCATCACTTAACGTTTACGATATTTGATTATATGAATAGAAAATATTATATTTTTAATCAATCCAAAATAGTTTGCCACATCAGTGATCTTATCATTATTCCCAGGTAATTAGCATCAAGGAATTGCAATCTAATATGCACATTAGGATGTTACAATGTTATAAATAAGAAAAGTATATGAATAAAATAAACTAATATATACAAAATCATGGAGGATAATTTTCAAAAGAAAGTTGATATTGATTGTTCTTCAAGTGTTCAGTTTGAAGTCATTCCACCAGATGTTGCAAACATACCTCTGCCTGAGGATGTGTCCCAAATTCCTCTGCCAACTCCGAATTTTGCACAAGAATCACCTATAACTTACAATGCAATCCCTATAATAAGCGAAGGAGACTCTACGACAAAAGTGAAAGATGAATTTTATGACGTACATAATTCTACTATAAAAGATATGAAGTTTGAAAATGAAGTTGATAATTCACAAGAACTATATAAGGATAAAACTGCTTGTGATAATCTCACTACTAGCATGCATGCAGAGTCAGTGGGAAAGTTTTTACAACCTGACATAAATGAACAAGTCTTACGTTATCAAAATGAAGCATTTGCGAGAAGTGGCAATGCAGAAACTCATTTTAGTAACCAATTCTTATCAGTTAAAGATGAATCAATACCAGTTCAAGAAGTGAACTTAGTTTCTGAAAGTGTTTCTACTTCGGTGGAACCCAAAAGTGAAGTTTTGATTTCACAAGGTGAATCTAATGAGGAATGTCTCACTTCTCAAGTGGATGATAATGTAGCAACAGAAAGCATTAAAACAGAAAATGAAAGTTTTGTATCTGATACAAAAATGATTCAGTCTGAAACTGCAGCTTTTCAAGAACAAGGCAGCGAGACAAAAAATGCAGATGATTTCTCCCAAGTGTCTGTGACTCTTGATGCAGCGATTGACAAACAATTTATTCAAAATACAGAGAGCATTACACCCGAAACAGAAACTTTGAAGCCAGGTTGTACTTTCAAAACAAAAACTGTAAGTATTTCTGAAGTAGAAACTAATCATACTCTATCATTTGCAGATTCTAATACTGATGTTGTAAATTTAAATGTTGAAAATGTTTCTGGAGAAAAAATTGAAACAGAATCAATGATTACCGAATCGTATGCAGAAAATACTAGCACAGAAAGAATTTTATCTGAAGATGAGTCAATGGTAACTGACTCCTATGCAGAAAATACAAGTTCAGAAGAAATTCTAATTACTGAAAGCTCTTGCCAATCTAAAAGTTTAGGAAATGAATCAATGATAACAGATTCTAATGTAGAAACTAGTAATGAAAGCATCATACCAGAAGTGGCATCTTTAAATGTTACATCTCAAGCTGTAACTTTTCATTCTAATCATGAAACTACCGGCAATGAAGCTATAACAACTTCTGCAGTAACATGTAATGATGGAAATATTAATTCCAGATCTGAAATCAATTATTATGAAAATGTAATATGCACTAATGAAAATGACCTGATGAAAGCTGAAACATTCTCAAATGAGATTGATACATCTCAAGTAGATGGTTCTCAAGTTGATACAAATTCTGAAAATATTACTTCTGAAGTTCTAAATGATAGTTTTGCTTCCAAAGATTCTGATCCCGAAATGTTTAATTCAGATACCAGTAGTGTTCAACTTATGTTTCCAGTTACTGAAACTAATCCAAATTTGATAATGGAGAAACATGAAGATACCTCAGCCCAGGAATATTCTGATTGTGCTGAAACAAAAAATAGAGAGGAAGTTGAAGTACAGAACACACTTGCAGAGTATGTAAGTGCAGTAAATATTAATAAAGAAAGCCCCTCAATCGAAGTAACATCTCATAATGTAAATATTGTTAGTTCTGAACAATTTGATCAAAGTAAAATTCAAGAGAAAAGTGAATCGAATCCCCAAACAAATGAAGACTTTATGCAGTTTGTTCCTCCTCCTAATGATAACACAGTGTCTAATGATCAGGAAATAAAACCACAAGTTACACAAGCAGACATCGAGTCAATAAATCAACAAAATACATCTGGATTTAACGAAAGTGGTTCTGAGAGGTTACAAATAAGTGATGATAATATTGAATTTGTTGTTGATAGCAAAGAAACCCCGATTTCCAAAACAAATTTAGTTGATTACATTCAAACACATGATCCAACTATTGAGGAAGATGTAGCTACTGTTCAATATATTGTAACTAATGATAACGAACAAATAATAGAGCATGCTAAAGTCGAATATGAAAATGATAATGGTGAAGTGAACGCACTTCCAGAAGGAGTACAGTATGTTGTTTCTGAAGCTGCAAATGGAGATCCAAATGAGCAGAGTTATGTTCAGTATGTAGTTGCTGATAATACAGATGATAAAATGACTCATTTTCATGCAGTTGCTGAAGGTGAAAGTGGGAATCATCCTGAATATATACAATATGTTGTTTCTGAAGGTTCAAATCAAGAAAACATGGTACAGTATGTTGTAACTAGTGCTGGAAATGACAAAGACATTCCACATCATGTGAATTCTGAAAATTTTGTTAGTTACATTGTTTCAGATACTGCTAATGAAAAAGATGTATCAAGAGATGAAACCTCAGACCAGGCTGCTATCACTTATGAAGTGATTGATGAAAGTTCACAAGAGCCAACTGCAGTTGTCATAGAAGAAATGGAAGTTGAAAATAATACTAATGATCAAAATGAAGATATTGAAATTTATGTTATTGAAGATGACAATATGCAGGTTATAGAAGTGCATGTAGAAAATCCTAATATGAAAAACTCTGATAACACATCAGAAGATAAATGCAAAACAGAATCTAATAACCGAAAACGAGCGCCCACAGGCAATTATATTGAAGTAGTTGATGCCAAGGGTGATACAACTGCAAAGTTGCCTTGTCATGTTCTTGGTAGAAACTTAAAAAATCCAGAAGCTGATGTTTTAAGTAATGGCAGAAACCCTCCGAAGGTTAGACCTGGTGTAAAAGTGCCACCTTTAAGTTTGACAAGTTGTATTGTATCATCAGGAAGAAATAAGCGAAGAAATTGATAAGAAATTAAAAGCCGAAGTACCAGTTTATGATAAACCCAAAGTTGGTGATATTTTATTCAAGCATAAAATAACTAAGAGATTAGCTGAAAAACTTTGTACAAATCCAGGAAATGTACAGAATCTTCCAAATAATCCTAAACCTAATCAAAATCTAACAAAAGCTTCACCAAATACTCGACTGGCTAAAAAGAATTTGTTGTCAAAAACAAAACCCAAATTAGACAATGCCGATCTTTTAGCTATTTTAGAAGGCGATGAGGATCCAGATTGGTCAGAATTGAAACCTGTGGAAACAGATCAAGCTCCTCCTATTTTGCAAGCAATTGAGAAAAGTATCATATCTGGACATAGTGGTAGAAGCCCGCCTCCGGTTTTAGAAGCCCAGGCAAGAAGTAATACTTCGAGAGCATTTTTAAAACTAGATTCTGAAGAAAAACGACGCTTGGCACAACATCAATTATTGAATTTGCCAAATGTTCCTAACATATGCTCAAGCAGGCCACGTGGTAGGCCTAAATTAACAGATTACAATCCACTTAAACATACGCTTTTGAAGAATGCTGGTATGGCAGTGTATACAACTCCTCGATCAAAAGATCCTCCAAAAACATATAGTAACAGAAAAGCTAATGATATTATTAAAACACTAGTTTCTGATTGGGATGAGGAATCCAAAGATGATAGTCAAAAAGGATCAACAACAACAGCAAAAGATCAATCATCAACAACAAATTTGACAAATCCCACGGAAAGCACTAAAAAGCAAGTGGAACCAAATGAAACAACCAAAACAAAGTCGCATCCTACTGAGGAGAAATCAGTGAACAAAGTAGGTACAACTGCGGCCACTAGTTCTAATGTGAAAACTACATCAACAGCTATCACAAAACCTATCCCAAATACTACTGCTAAATCACCATCTGTAAAATCTACAACTGCTATGGCAAAATCTACTCCAACACAAACAAAAGCAGCACCAACAGTTGCAACGAAAACATCAGCATCTACATCAAAATCTTCATCATCTGCAAACCCTTCAGGTACAACTGTTACAAGACCTTCCGAAACAACCACAGCAAAATCTAATCCGCCTGTTACAGTAAAACGTAAAAATTCACCATCAACAAATAGTCCACAGCTGGGAATAGTACCTAATAAAATAGCTAGAGTCATAAAGAAAAAAATTATTTGGGATCCAGATAATCCAATGACATCTGCAAGTTTATCACCATCCTTAAAAAGTGTTAAGCGAGACCCTCAAAAAAGTTCTTCTGAGAGTTCTCCAAACAATGTGAAAAAAGCAGCAGACATTGCTGTTAAGAAAACAGTTATGAACTCAATTGGAACTAAGAAACAAGTTGAGAAACCATCAACAGAAGTGGAAGTTAAGACAGAAGATGCGCAAGAAGTTCAAATGCAGGAAGCTCAGACTCCAGCTAATGCAGTCGGCAGAAGATCTAGATTGATTCGAAAAGTTCCTCATAAACCTATTAACCCCAATAGAAGCCTTGTTCCTAAATCTACTAGTCCCAGTCCAACTATACCGAAGAAGAAAAAACTTACTGAAATAGACAGACTGCTAAGTGATGAGGGAGCTGTTAATATGATATATTCTGTAGAGCGCAGAAATAATAACGCTGAAGTTCCGAAATTGTTACCAAACCAAATAAGCGCTTATTGATATCTCTTGAAAAAGAACGCAGGAATTTACTTTCTAAAGCTAATATCATCAAACAAGCTGTTCTCAGACATAGTTCGACTGCTGTAGCATCGAATCGAAACAAGAAACCCTTGCGATTTAAAAAATCTGCAGTTGGTAAGAGGAAAGTGGTTTCAATGAAGAAAAGGAGTGATCAGACACGAAACTCAACGCAATCCTCTTTGGTAGAGGAAAATGCTGAATTTTCATTTACATCAGTAAATGAGTCTAGAATTATAAGAAGGCATTCTTCAAGCTCTTTTTCCAGTACATGCACGAGTCCCAGGAGACTTAGTGTTGATGGTAAAACTGGACCAAACGCAGAAGAAAAACTAATTGAAGTTACTGCAGAGTCAGAATTATCAAAACCTTTGAAAAAGCGCCAAAAAGGTGGTGTTCCAATTTACTCGAGACCTGCAGAAAGCGAAAAATCCTACAAAGGTAAAACTAAAAGTACAAATCCTGAACAAGTCGCAAATATCACAGAAGAAACAAAAACTACTACTAGTCCTAAAGAGGAAGAAAAAGTCGGTAAAACCATGAGTACCAGGTCTAACAAAAAAGTTATCAGTGATTCGAATCTTGATGAAAATAAATCGCAGGAAGACCCGCCTGATCGCGTTTCGGAAGTTGCAGACGCCACTGAGAAACCTGCAGTCACGGAGGATGATGCCAGTTTAAAAGATGAAGCTGTTAAAAATGCCGCTATATCTAAAAAGCTTAGAAAAACTTCTGCAATTGAGAGTGAGAAAACTCAAGTTTCCAAAGAACAGAAGACTTACGAAGAAATTAGCATTCGTAAACATGAAACGCTAGTTCAAATTATTTTAACACCAACTTCGACCAAATTCAAAAATTCATTGAGTAATCAGGTACGTAAAATGTAAATAAAAACATAAAAACCCTTTTCACTCGGCTGTCTTTAAACAATGACTCAGTTCTCATTGTATCAAATACACTTCATCAAGATTGAGCAACCTTAATGCGGTCCTTTAAATATTTTTTGGCGGCTCGTCTAGCATATCTCAAGTAGAATTTTATTTATTTTATTAAGTTTATGCCATCAATAAATTAATCATAATGCATTATTAATTTCCTGAGGAAGTTTATTTTTTTCAAAAAATCCGATTCGCTAATTTTGTTTTCTCGACGTTTAAAGCCATTCTGAATCGAATGAGACCAAATTTGGAAAAAGTATGTGTGTGTGTATGTATGTGAACAGATTTTTTGTCGTAAATCGACGTTTTCTCAAAACGGCTGGACCGATTTCAAAAATTCAAAAGCCATTCGATGTATCTCGATGAGGACTAGCGCTTATCAATTTTGCGTGACGATCAGCCAAGCCGTTTCTTTTGTAAATCGCAAAAAAGTGAGAAAAAACTCGTCTACTTTTTATCCCGCAATTCTGAATCTATTTGAAAATTCAAAAACTGTTCGAAAGAAATTGGTTGGGAATCGTGCTTATTAGTTTTTGGTAAAGATTGGCCTGAACGCTATCTTGTAATAAAGTGTTAAAAAAAATTTTCGACGATTTTTATGATTTTTTTTGACGGTAGATACCATAATCATATAGATTATACTAAAATATTACGGCCGTACGACAAGTCGTTTAATTTTAAGAATTCTTCAAAGTTCTAATTTTTGCAAACTTTGAAGAATCGTTTTTTGGCATTTGTCAAAATTAACCTTTCATCGTTTGCTCAAAAACGCCTAAACCGATTTCAGTAATTTAAAATCCATTTGATGTATCTCAATGAGGACTATCGTTTGTCAGTTTTGTGCGACGATCTGCAAAGCCGTTTCTTTGTGATTTGAAAAAAAGTGTTAAACTTTTCGTCTACATTTAAGCTCATACTATCGAATCTTCCTAAAATCAAAAACTGTACGAAATATATTAGTTGGGAATGATACTGATTAATTTTAGATGAAAATCTACCGAGCCGTTCACTTGTAATTAACTGTTGAAATTTTTTTGTTTTGGCGATATATATCATAGTCTTATAGAACTTATTAAAATATTACGGCCTTACAAATAGTTTAATTTTACAAATTCATCAAAGTTTGAGAAAATGAGTAGTTTTTTTGACGTTTGTTAAAATTAAAATTAGACGATTTACTTAGTATAGCGATAGAGCGAGTACTTGGTCCTAAACCATTAAAATCTTACGGCAACTGGTTCAATTATAAAATTTTTCAGAATGCGGCGCCGAGTGGAAAGAGTTAAAAAATCTGATAAATATTATTCTCTTTGAATGGATTCATATTGATTCAAATAATGATCTTATGTTTAAGGTTGTTCAAGAATTGTGTGAAGTTTTGAAAGAATTATCAAAAGACTCATCATGTCATGTGGTACTCATAACTTCTTCAGGCAGTATTTTTTGCCAAGGATTGGATTACTCAAAATTATTACAGACTTCATTGGAAAAGCGTCAGCAAGTGGTTCAAGAAACTGTGCATGGTGTTGTGTAAGTATATCACATATTGTTCTCATGATATTATCAAGAGTTAATTATTTTATCTTTTTTTTTTTTAGAGAATTACTTCGAGTTCTTGCAACCTTTCCTAAAATTTTAGTTGCTGGAGTGCATGGGGCAGCAATTGGATTTGGTGTTACAATTTTACCCCTATTTGATTTAGTTTTAGCTAGCGATAAAGCAACCTTTAGTGTTCCTGCTACAAAATATGGATACATACCAGAGGGAAATCATTGATGCCCTGTTATCGGCTGCTATCACAGTCTGTGGTAAGTATGCAGAATTATTGAAAATACTTGAGAAAAATTGATCGAAATAAAATTGCTATTGATTCATTTTAAATTAGTTATCAATTATAGTCTAAGTATTGTACAAAATATGTTTGATTAACATTCCGAAGTTGAAGTTTATATTTTCGCGAGAATATCCGATTTGCTAATTTTATGTTTTGTTGACGTTTCAAGTCATTCTGACTCTAATAAGACGAAATTTGGATAAAGTAGATTTTTGACTTTTCGTCGTCGTTTTTAAAAACGATTCTTATACGATCAGCTTTTTGACAAAGAACGGACAGGCTTTTTCTTCATAATTGATTGTTAGAAAAATAAAGAGTGCGCATAAGGTTCACACGCGATTGAAGTAAAACTTATTTGTTACTCTACAAAGTTAGCAAATTTAAGTTAGGTAAAAATAAATACTTCATATAAGAATGTTGATTAATGTTTATTAGAAATATGATAACACTCATGATGCACACATTTATAAGTGCCAACTATTATACACATTTATATAATGATAAATTATAAATTATATATTTATAATAGCATTAAAAATATGAGTAATATTTAAAAACAATAATGTAATTAAAGTGATCGGTTTGTCATTGTAATTAGCATTTAGTAATTAATCTTCATCAAAGAAATGAAGTAATTGCTGATTAATACATTCTATAATATTCATTCACACTGGATTATGTTAAACAACGTCCTCTAAACAAATATTGTTTTCGCAACTTCACTCATTATGTAATTGTGTTTGAAGAACTTCATGTAATTAAATTTAACATACATTCATTGACTGCTTGTATTTTTTTTACTTTTTCGCTGGCGATATAATCTCGTTTTTGAACAGCTGTAATGTCTGGTTGCCTAATAAATATTTTCCATTTTAATAACTTGAAGATTTATAGAAACTATAAATAATAAGAAATAATTTCTAATCCATAAACTTACGTTTAGTACACCACATTTTTTTTTATTATATTTTTAAAAGCAATTAGGTCCTTACGTCCTATGAGCTGTTGGGCTGAAACTTCTCACTTCGTATTTTTAGATGGTAACCCAATGGTTAATCCATCCATATTTGATGATTTTTGTTATTAGAATTAATCTAATAGGGCTGACTTTTTATTGGTGCAGCAATGCCGGGCAAGGGCTATTTTTACTTGGAAACATATTGCTATCTATATATCCATATTGCCAAGTGAAAATCGTTGTCACTGCTGCCTGACAACAGGCTGCTCGAAGTGGGTATCGAACCCGGGACCTCTGATTCAGGTCCCGTCGCTCTTAACCGCTTACCTACGGGCGAGCCCTAGTACACCACATAAAT